ACAGGAGGCACGCAGGGAGGAGAAGGCGTTGGGTCCAGGCTGACTAGGAAACTCACAGCGGGCACTTTTCTCCAGCACCCACACGGGGTTGCTGGAGGCTTTGATAGGATTGCAGTGCAGCTGTCTTTCTTCCTGTGCTGAATTCTCCACCCCATCTCACAGCCCAAACTATCTCAGCATCTACTTTCCGAGGTCTCAAACTGGAAATGCATCCTCATGCCACCTACTTCTGTGATGTGTGTGCATGGTGCGTGCGTGGTGCGTGAGTGGTGCGTGCGTGCGTGCGTGCGTGTGTGTGTGTGTGTGTGTGTGTGTGTGTGTGTGTGTGTGTGTGTGTTCTAGCTAGGCTCTAGGGTTCTTCATTTGATCCCAACCCCTCCTGTGGTACAGTCTGAACCCCTGCTTGATCCTGTGTGGCGATGTGTCTCATTTTGGTATATTCAGGACCCAGCAGACTACTCTTTTTTTATTAGTTTATTTTTTACATCCCAATCCTAGTTCCCCTTCCCTCCTCTCTTCCCACTCCCCCCACCCTCCCACCTCCCACATGCTCCCCAGACAGGGTAAGGCCTCCCCCCAGGAAGTCTACAAAGTCTGTCCCATCATTCCAGCAGACTCTGTCTGGTATGTAATTGAGGCCGAACACCCTAGCAGATCTTCAGTGAGCATCGGGTTGGAAGTCACTGTTTATAGAATCCACAAGGAATGAACACACCACCTCATTTTCCTTCTTTTTAAGATCCCTCCTTGCCGAGTTTGACCTGAATTAGCCACAGTCCACGAGATGAACGCAGCCACTCTAGGAGGCGTAAGTGGCCGTAGAGAGGAGGCATCCATCTTGTTTAAAAGGCACGTGCTGCCCCGAGGTAGGCATGAGACAGGCTGTGCAGGCTGGGGGCAGGGTTAGCCGTGTAGGTAAGGGAGGCAGTTCAGGCATGGGGAAGGCCATGGCAGGGCAGGTGGGGGAGACGTGGGGCAGAAAGTGCAGGTGCCGGTAGGGATGTGACAGGCAGTGTCAACACTGGGCAGATGGCAGAGGCACGCCGCAGGGGCTCGATAAATAACTTTGTTACCTGGGCAAGACATTTGGAGACATCTTTCTGCAGACATGTGTCTAAAGGGAGGTTAAGACACTGGGGGCTTTAAAGCCATCTTTATAAAGATTGTGTGCATGTGTGCATGTGTGCATGCGTGTGTGTGTGTGTGTGCGTGCTGTGTGTGTGTGTGTGTGTGTGCGTGCGTGTTTGCACATGTGTGTGGTGCCTGTGGAGTTGGAGTTTAGCGGTCCCAGGACCCGAACCGTGATCTGCAAGAGCAGCAAGTGCTCCTAACTGCTTGAGCTCTCTCGCTATCCCTAAAAATGCCCTTAAAGTTTGCACCCGGGATGGAAACTGCTGTTCTGTGGACTGAAGAGCAGAGAATATATATAGTAAGCTTTCTGGTATTTGTGTCCTTTAATGCCCAAGGGTCTCTCTGTGACCATTTTAGGCCCATTTTCCATAAGTAGTTTGCAGCCAAAGACGATCTCTTTGCAAGAACAGAGACTAGAAAGTCAGCGCGTTTAACATCTCCACACAGTCCCTCTCTCTGCGTCTTTGCGCTCCAGCAGCCAGACTTACCAAAGCTCTGTAGAGAAAATGTAATACTGAAGACGACGGACATTTCCTGAGTCCTCAGCTAGACCCCGCACTGTCCTGAGAATATGGGAGCAACGCCAAAATCAACTGTCTCCAATCTGACATGAAAGCCGAAACTCCAAGTGGCTCAAAGGTTACAGGAACATCCCTCTGCCCCATGGTCGCAGTTTAAGAGCCCAGGGAGTATCTCAGTCATTCCCCTGGTTGACCGCTAAGGGGCGCCCACCATCAACCCAGCAAGCGCTCTGACAGGCACTCATTTTCTGGTGTCAAGACTTCCCAACACTGTCAAAACATCAAAAGGTGGAGCAGAGAGCTAACTTCCTTTTCCCCCTCGGCTGAAGGAATGTTATTAAACACACACACACGCTTCTCAAAGTTCATAATAAAGTAATGCTATTGCCGGGCGGTGGGGGTGCACACCTTTAGTCCCAGTACTCGGGAGGCAAGGGCCAGCCTGGTCTACAGAGTGAATTCCACAACAGCTAGGGCTGTTACACAGAGAAACCCTGTCTCGGGAGGAAAAAAAAGTAATGCTTTTGATTTTCCTTATTATGACCTTATCCACTGTTTTACATTTGGCTCACCATGGAAAATACTCTTACAGCACATATTTATTCGGGAAAGAAATTAACGCAAAGCAGCCTGTGTCACGCGCCACTCATTTTGTGACCAACTTCGAGGGTGGAATGGCTTTGCTCTAGACTCTGGGCACCTAGGAGACACTCACAGAGATCCCCCTGCCTCTGCGATTAAAGGCGTGCGCCACCACGCCCAGCACTAGCCTCTCTTGAAGCAGGCTGTGGGTCAGCGTCTCTCATGACTGGAGCTTCTCAAGGAACTTGGTGTGGCGCTCTCACTTCCGGCTGAGACTGAACATCTGGATCCCATCAGATCACTCATTTGCTGTGTAATGCATCCGTGAGCTTCTTTCTGGAAAGCCTATTTTGATTTTTTAAATTTATTTTGTCTTGTTATTATTATTTTATGTGTACAGGCGTTTTTCCTGCATGCATGTTTGTGTATCACATCCATGCACTGCCTGAGGAAGCCAGAAGAGGGCGCTGGATCACCTGTAGCGGGACTTTTGGACAGTTGTGAGCTGTCCCACGGACCCTGGGAATCCAACCCAGGTCCTCTGGAAGAGCGACGGGTGCTCTTACCTGCTGAGCCATCTCTCCAGGCCCCAAATGGCTTGTTTCTAATTTTAGGCATACGGGATTTTGGCCTGAATGCGTCTCTGCGCACCACCTGCGCTCAGTGCCCAGAGAGGCTGAGACGGGGAGTCGGGTCCCCTAGACTGGAGGTACAGACAGCTGTGAGCCACCATGGAGGTGCTGGGAATCCAAACAGCGCCCTCTGCGGGAACAGCAAGTGCTCCCGGGCCATTTCTCCACCCCTTATTTGATTTTCCAAAAGGAGCTTGCGTTAATAGAGGCTATGAATTTTTGCGTCTGCCGCCATTTGTGTTTTAGCATCGTATTTAGAAAGAGACCCACCAGGGAGAGGCTGACACCTCTCCAGGGTAGAAAACCCGCCACGGTTAATCCCAATCTCCCTCCTCCTTTCCCCCTTTGTGAGAGAGCAGACAGAAGCCGACGAAGACTTATAGTGAGTTCATTGTCCCTTGTCCTTTAAGCTAGGACTGACATCTCCCTAATCGGAGCCAAGCAAAACCTGGAAGTCCTTGACCAACAGAGTGCAGCGTGGCCTGGCACTCAGCCCCACAGACGCTGGCCTAGGTTTTATCCCTGATGATATATGGGGGAGGCTGAGTTTACATTTATGGCAAGGACTAGGCAAAGAGTGTACGTTTATGGCAAGTAGGAACAGGACTAGGTGGAGAGGTGTGAGTTACTTGAATTAAAAGTTCCCTGAAATAAAGTTATCACCCCAAATCCCATTTCCTCCCAGGCCGGGGTGATGGACAAAGTGCCTCCTCAGACCCCAAGGGGCGAGCACTCCGCTCTTTCTTTCCCCTGAGATGGACGTGGATCCTGCACCCCACAGGCAGGCATTTAGGTCAGAGGGCACTCGGCCGTGCAGACACCTCCAGGGCCACCTGAGGTGTTAGGGGTGCTGCTCATGCGGGGTCTCTTTCTTACGTGTCTCCCCCACATTCTCCTGTGGAATACTCGGTGAGTTTTCTGTCGTTCTGCCCGCTGACCTGTGTTCCCACGTGACTGAGAAGTTCACTGGCAGGGTAGCTCTGCTCTTTGATCTCCACAGAGGAGCCACCGGAAGGAAGGAAGGAAGGAAGGAAGGAAGGAAGGAAGGAAGGAAGGAAGGAAGGAAGGAAGGGTAGGAGGGAAGGAAGGAGGGAAGGAAGGAGGAAAGGATGGAAGGTAGGGAGGGAGGGAGGAGGGAGAGAGGGAGGGAAGGAGGGAGGGAGGGAAGGAAGGAAGGAAGGAAGGAAGGCAGGCTCCCAACAAGCTCCTCAGCTCACGCACGGTGAGGCCCTGAAGCGAAAGCAGAGCTGTGAAGAACTTCACACCACGGACATTGTAGACAGAACTCTAAATCCTGAAAAGATCCTTGGAACCCTCCAAGTATTGACAAGGCGTCAAGAAAATCCTTATGAGCTGAAGGCGCTTCCAGGATTCCTTGGATTCCAAAGTCAGCCTTCCAAGTTCTTGAAAAGGAGGGCTGCTCCCACAAGGCATGCAGAGCGGTGGATCCGGAGGGAAGACCACACACCCTGCAAGCGGAGCCATCCATCTCCAGAGGGAAGACGACACAGACTGAGGTGGGCTTGCAGGCCAGCCTGGAGTCCAGACGCCGACCTCTTGAGGAAACAAGGCCACAGGTTAGCTCTCACCAGAGCCCTCTCGGTGTTGGTGCCTTGAATACAAACGTGCTCAAGTTTCAGGCCTCACTCAAGGGTTTCCCATCTTTTCCTCACACACAATCTCAAGCTCGGTGAGTTGGCCTCATTCTCAGCCCGGTGAGTTGGCCAAATTCCTGTAGCCATAAGGGCTCCTTAACCGGTCAGTGGGAAAGATTTCAGTGTCACTTCAGTCTCCATACCCAAACACTGCTGTTAGAGACTTCAGTTCTCTAGGGCACCTGGGTCCAGGAGGACGGGACACGGTTGCAAGAGACAAAGGCCATGTTTGCTAGCCTGGCCCAGAGCAGGAGGTCGGCTCTCATAGTGGGGAGAACTGTCGCTCATTTCAGAAGCTTCCAGAAGGCAGGCTCCTGCTGGCAGGCTTCTAGGTTCCAGTTCTCTGTGGTTTGCCAGCCTTGGCACCAGGAAGTCTTTCCCCAAGGCTAGTCCAACCCTAAAACTGTTCAGAGGCAAATTTCCAAGGAATCGGGAGGCTCCGTCCGTCTGTCATTTTCCGAAAGCAGGCGAGAGGAAGAGGAAGGAGAAAGGGTGGGGGCGAGAACCGAGGCTTGTGGAGGGAAGGACTAGGTCTCTGAAGACAGCCGAGCTCCTCTTCCACTCGGACAAGAGAAACATGGGAGGGTGTAGAAGGTTCTCACTCATCTCTCGTGAAGCTGAGAGGCATCGGGAAGGCCACCCATCCTTCTGGGACCACCATCTCTGGTTTTAACATCTCCATTGTTTCTCTCTCAGCAGGAGGAGCTCTTCTCCTGGAACTTGAGTGCCATTTCTTTCCTAGTTTCTGGCCCAAACCTTGTAAGTAATTGGGTCTGGAGTTTGAGTCAGGAGTCAGGTGGGGCAGGAGGAAGGCCTAAAAGGAGAGGGATGTTGTCTCCATTCTAATGGTACTGTCTCGGAAAGCCCAGAGTCTCGCCCAAGACCATGCAGCTGGTAAGCGTTCTGGGTGACACAGTGTGTCATGCGTGGTTGAGCAGGTTACACACTGCCCAACTGCAAGCGACAAGAGCACCGCATTTCCCTGGGCGTGTATATGGAAGTTTGCCAGCAGATGGCAGTCAAGCGTCTTGAGGAAGAGAGTGTCCTTGTCTAATTTACAGTAGCTACCATATCAGTAACTTTGTGTTGTTCCAGAAGTCCACTGGGTTTAGAAACAACCTCTACAGCACATTTGTACAGGCTAACTCAGAGTCCCCTAAGAACCTCTGACTGAGCCAGGTAGGGAGCAGAGGCCAGAGGTCAAAGGACAATAAAGACGAATTCATCTTGGCAAAGAGAATTTTGCCAAAACCAAACTAGACCAGCCAGTCTATAAACCAGAAAGAGTCTTGGCTCCATGGTCACTGACTGGGTGCCAGCCGTGAGTTCTCTCACTTTTCTGAACCTCTGTCTCTTTTGCAGATGGAGGAGGAGACACTGTTGGAAATGAAATAACACATTGGCGGGATCTCAGGACGCTTAGCCACCCTATTGCTCTTGGCTGTCAGGTCAGAGGTCAGGAACTGCATCCAGAGAACTGAGCTGGAGCTGTCTGAGGGAGTGGCAGACCTGGAACTGGGCATCTTAGCAGCCCGTGGCCACCCAGGGCCAGTAAGCAGTGTACTCTCCAGGCCAGTGTAGGCACCGCCCCTGCTCTCTTACCCAGATAGTGCCGAGGCCCTCTGCAGTTTCCACTGGGCACGTCAAGAATGCAAGCTCCTGACCACCCTTTCCTGGGCCGTTTCTCAAGGCTGTGTTTGCAACTAGCAATCGTGAGGGATGAGGTAATGTGTCCCTGGGAACAAAAGTCAGCTTGTCGCTGCTTACTATAGAGGTAGTGGATTCTGGGCTTGGAGCACCTCACCTCGGCCGCAAAGTCACAAGTTCTGTCTAATCTCTTCATCTCTCTGCAACTTGCAGGGATGGAAAACACTCCTTGTCTCTGGCCCAGGGATGTTGCATCCCCTCCCGGCATCCACACAGCAGTAACAGATTAACTGACTTCCTTGCAAGCGAGGTTAAAATGTGGACTCTGACACAGGGCTCTGGGGACCTGTTAGCCAAGAGGAGAACCTGCGGGGGTTTGTCCTTTGAAAGATTTTTATTTTGAAGATGTGTCTATCAGCACCTTAGGAGAGAGGTAAGAAAAATGAATCCACTGGAACCAGTCAACGGTCTATGCCACCCTTGTCTGAAATCTTCCCGCCCCTACCAGCGCACTCAGACCCCTCCGGCATCGATACACACTTGGCTGGACTTTGTTGCCACAGGCAGGGGACCAGGTGTTGCCGCCTCTGCCTTACACGGTGCCACTGGCCTTGGGGAGAGGGAAGGTGGGAGCAATGTGCATAGCCCAGCAGACAGCCTGGAGTGTCCCCAGTGGCTCAAATTTCAGGGAATTTCTATTTTGGTTCAGTTGTTTTATGTCAGTGACCTTCGGCATTGGTAAAGACTAGCCAATGTGCTTGGAATCACAAAGGCTAGGGTCTTCAGTTTCTGTGTGATTTGTTGTGAGACGCCTCCAAGCCTTTCAGAAAAGACCTAAGATTACAAACAAGCAAACAGACAGTGCCAGGAAGGTAACAGGCTCGTGTTGGGCCCCTCTGGGATCAAAGGAGGAAGAAAACAGGTTTTCACAGACCGAAGTGATATGCTTCTTGGAAGACCTGTGTCAACAGCTTCCAGAAATGCACAGTGGAAAGAAGGGGCCTTCCTGTCTGCCAGATCCTGGGGTAAGCATGGCCTTGGGTAGAAAGGCTGGGTTTAAACTCAGTGCTTTGTTTCCAGTGAGTACAAACCCATCACACCCTTCTGCTGGAAGCTTCTGTGACAAGGAGACTGACATTTTCACTTGATAGGTTAGACACTAATACCCCGAAGGGTGACAGGCACAAGGTCACACACTCTGTCACGGAGACTAGGGGATGCTCCAGTCAACAGTTTTCTATACTTGTCTCATGACCTCAGACTTAAAAGCTACAATGGAAGCTTTGGCATTGGGAATCACCCACGCCTGCTCTCAGATGACACCTTGTCGCTCACATGTGTCCCTTGGTAATCTGCTGAGCCTCTGACTCCCACTGTGTTGTGAGGATTAATATGCTTCACACAGAGAGACCAGTTCACCCATGCCCCTCTACTTCTTTCAAGATTTCCAAGGTGGTCTGAGTTATCTGCATCCACCCGGGACGTGAAACACGCTGGACATGTGATCAATTTTCAGTTTCTTCATGAATGCGTCTTGAACTGGCCATTTTACAAGTGACTCATAAAGATAAATATTTGTAAAACAAAACAACAAAAACTCTAAGAGGTCCTTGGGAAGTGAAAGTGGATACAAGGGAGTGATCGCTGTGAATGTCTTCTCTGAGTGCAGTTGGGCTGGATGAAGACTGAGCTGAATTATGTTCTGCAGACCGTAGGGTTAGGTCATGGCATGGCCCTTGAGAGAGCTGCCAGAGGATTTCTGGGTAGGAATGGTGCTGAACTGTTGCACCAGGGAAGTCGAGGTTCTTTGGAGTTTGGGGGGTTGCAACGTCAGCAGCAATGACAGTTGCTCAACAGTTCGTGGACAAGAAAACAGCAGTGTTAAGATGGAGGAGTCGGGCGGTGGCTGCTCACGCCTTTAATCCCAGCACTCGGGAGGCAGAGGCAGGCAGATCCCTGTGAGTTCAAGGCCAGCCTGGTCTACACAGAGAGTTCCAGGACAGGCTCCAAAACAATACAGAGAAACCCTGTCTCAAAAAAAAAATAGTAATAATAACAAGATGGAAGAACCCAGGGGTACCAGTTCTCCAGGCCTGGCTTGCTATGTATTTATTACTACTAAACACTTAGAATATATTCCTATATAGCTTGGTCAGAGTAACAGCTGGTGTCCTGAGGAGAGTAGTACAGACACAATGTTAATGTTCCCCAACATCAGGGTGAAAAGATATACAGCTAATTTAGAAAGCAGAGCTACAATTTCTGTAGTTTAAAACATTTCACTGCACATGTAGACATGGTGGAAATGATACATTTTTTTAAATAAAGAAACTATTTATCCAAGCATTGTGACATATGCCTGTGATCCCAGTATTGTGGAGGCAGAGGTAGGAATATCTCCTTGAGTTCAAGGCCAGCCCAGCCAGGGATACAAAGTGACACTCTCTCTCATCATTCCCTCCTCCACTGAATAAAAGTTAGGCATTAGGAGCCAGAGAGATGGCTCAGAGATTAAGAGCACTGGCTGCTCTTCCAGAGGTCCCCAGTTCAATTCCCAGCACCCACATGGTGACTCATAATCACCTATAATGAGATCTGGTGCCCTCTTCTGGCAGGCAGGCATACATGCAGGCAGAATACTATACATAATAAATAACTAAATCTTAAAAAAAATAAAGTTAGACATTAAATTTTAAGTTTGGAATTTCAAATCTCAGCATATAGAAGGGCAGTTCACCTGAAAACAAAAGGAAAAGACTCCCATCACCCATCCCAATAGGTTCTGGGTATGGATAACCTTCACTTTAGCTAGAGAGTACGGACCCTTGATCCCAATGGAGTAGGCAGAGTCAGCATGGCTATCTCGACGAACTCCTGTAGGAAGCTTCACCTTGTGGGTATAGGACAGCTACCAGCTAGTGTCTGCAATGCTTACAAGCTGTCTTCCTCGCTGAGATTTTGACCTTGTTCCATGCACATTCATAGCAGATGCCCAGTGGCCCAGCTTCTGCCGTACAGTCTTTCCAGTCCTATCAGCTGCCTGATGGAGAAAAGCAGATCATCTTGCAGGAGACTCTCCCTTGCACGGTAAGGAGCCCAACCAACTCCCTAGGCCCTGGGGAACTCCCCAGAGTCGACACTAGCCATCTTCAACAGCATTCCTTATGCAAACTGCATCCTCTGCCCTTTGGGCCCTCCAGGTGAGCAAGCAACCTGTGGGTTCTCGTGCTGTCTCAGGGATGCAGCTGTGGTTGTAGAAAATGCCTTCTTCCCCTGATCCATCTCTGAGTAGATGCACCTGTCACCCTCACCACCATGCTGTCTGAACAGCCCAGCATGAAGGACAGACCTATATGTGCAGTCTGGGAAAGCTGTGATGGGTATTTAATGAAAACCACATTGTTTGACTAGCATGATCGATTGTTTCAGATTACTGTGTGTTTATACAGAGCCCTACATATGGCTACTTGTTTGTTTAAATCTTCAGAAAAGTCTAGAAGGAAATCCTCCAAGTTGCCAATAATGGCTATTTACGGGAAGGAATGTTTCTTTTTCAAATCTCTACACTGTTTGTTGTCTTCATAACAAACATGTACTGCTCACATGAACATTCTAAATAAAAAAGCCCTCCAGGATGTCCTCTTCCAGTTTCCATGACACAGGTCCTGAACACATGGAGTGAGACGTTTAGGGCACTTCACAGTTAGACTTAAAATAGCGTCTTATCTTCTCTGGATCCAACCCAGCATCCCCAGCCCAGAAGAATCAGCCGGGCAGATGCTCTGGCAAGCCGTTCACAAGAGGCCGACTGGGGCCAGGGCTGAGCAGCTGCTGTGAAGCAGCACTGGCGTCTGTGATGGACAGACAGACTTCTGCAGCCCACAGCTCATCCCTCATTACATCCACGGGCTGACCCAGTCAGCAGAGCCGCTGCCCTGTGTCAGAACTGCACTGGGTGCCAGGGCCACGGGAGTGGGAAAATAGGCACGGTGTCTGCTCCCCGTCATGCGACCTCTTTCTCAAGGTGACTGGGCTCATGATGCAAGAGTAGCAATCGACTTTGACCTTAGCAGCCTGCACACTCCAGAATAAGTTAGATGTGGGAAGATGATCAGAGAGCATCTCAGACAGTGGGGGGCACAGGAAGTGATAGAGGTGTTCAAATTTTTCTGGGCACAGTGATGTTTTCATGGTATCTTGAGTGCTGGAGGGAAGGCAGCCTGGGTCACTCTATCAGGATTAAATGGAGTTTTGGCTCATCTGGATACAGTGTGAGATACTGACCTGCTGGAATTTAGGAAGCATCACGCACACACACACTGACATCTACTATAACATCTTTCGGTGACAGAAAGCTCTTTCATAGCTCCTGGCTTATCATGCAAGCTAACTTCTGAACACAGGCAGTTTTAAAGGCATCGCTATCCCCATGGTGGCCAGCAGGGGTCTTGGCACAGAGACCAAGTTTTCTTCAGGGGGCACCATGTACTGCTAGGAAGAGAACTTCTGGAATGAGGACTCTTCACCTACACAGAGCAAAGGATGGACAGAAGGGTGTGTGTCCTGGGGATGCCTCTCGTGGGCTACAAGCACTGCGTCAGGAGGAGTCAGGAGAATGTAGGCATGGCTCAGAAGGTGCTCATCCAACTCCACACTGCAGATGTCCAGGTGCTCATCCAACTCCACACTGCAGATGTCCAGGCCGCAATCTTCCTGGACTAGTCCTTAGAGACCCGGGGGTCTGTCAAGAGCCACCCTTTATGCAGTCATAGACACATGCAGAAATGGAGTGCCCCGTTGCTCTTTCTGCGTCCTGGCTGTTGTGAAGCCATTAGTCTCCTGGGCCACATGTTCCCACTGTCCTAACATCTGGCTTTCTCTCAGGTCCACAGCAATGGAGCCCAGGGACCAAGCATGAGGATCCCTGAAGCTGCGAGCAAAGTAAATCTTTCCTCCTTTCCGTCGTTTGCCTCGGATTATTTTCTTACAGCAATGGAAGGCTAACAGGAAATGGGTTTTTAAAGGTGTGGTCATCAGATTTCATATGCAAATGAGGGCTCCGCTGGGAATTGTTCTAGAGGTGATTCATATTACATTGTGATGAAGAACTCATTAATGTGGTGGAGCAATCATTCCAATCATTCATGATGTGGTACGGCCATTCGTAGCTACTGGAATACCGGCCAGGTTTATAACGAAAATGGAAAGCAAGAAGCAGAGTGGGAAGATTTGATTTTGCAGCTTAGACAGAAAGTTGGGGCCAAGGAAGGTGGTGTTGCTGAAGAGATTAGCATCACTGAAAAGAAGCCAGGAGCTTTGGGCTAGGACAATGGGGAGCATGCTCCGAGGCCCCTCTGGGATTGGCCAGATGCCACCTGTCAGTCTCAAGGCTGGGAAGGCACGCATTTGTTGGAAAGGCTTTGCTTCGAGGGGTGAATAATGCCGAGAGCCCGGCTCACCTGGGGCTGACCTGGGTTGGCGCTAAGAGTCACTTCACCAGACTCAGGCACACAGGAACCGGGTGGGCACACTGACTGCTTGAGCTGCCGGCGGACTTTGACAAGGCTCACACGGCTCTAGTTTCATGGATATGCAAAATGCAAGAGCTGAGCATAAGAGATTCTCACCCAGTTGCCACAGGAAAGCTTGGAGCCTCTGAGAAGACATCACATGGGAGCTGTGAGAGTGGAGACCCCAGGGAGTTAGAGATGCAGGGACACGCTGAGGAAAGGTACCAGCAATGAGCAGAGTGAGCCCAGGGGTAGCCATGTGGGTTGAAGCCCAAGGTCATAGTGATGACACCGCCACATTCCTGTGGAGGTACCGTCTACCCGCACATGCCTCAGATGCTAGGCGCGGAGAATTGTCTTGCTGGGTTTGGTTTTGCTTTCTTCTGCTTCCCTTTGATTCACCCCAATTCCCTCCTTTGGGATGGAAAACTTTATTCTATGCCATTTTGTGCTGGAAGTACACAAATGGATTTTTTTGTTTTGTTTTTGTTTTTCGAGACAGGGTTTCTCTGTGTAGCCCTGGCTGCTGGCTGTCCTGGAGCTTGCTCTGTAGACCATCCTGGCCTCGAACTCACAGATATCCACCTGCCTCTGCCTCCCGAATGCTGGGATTAAAGGCTTGAGCCACCATTGCCTGGCTGCAAATGGATTTTGTTTTTGTTTTTGTTTTTTTTGTTGTTGTTGTTTTTTTGGTTTTTCGAGACAGGGTTTCTCTGTATTGTTTTGGAGGTTGTCCTGGAACTAGCTCTTGTAGACCAGGCTGGTCTCGAACTCACAGAGATCCGCCTGCCTCTGCCTCCCGAGTGCTGGGATTAAAGGCGTGCGCCACCACCGCCCGGCCTTTGTCTTAGACTCTTTCAACAGGAGTGGAACTGTTACCATGAAGCTTCCTGGACACAGACTGCAATATGCCCGAGGAGCCGCTCAGAGCAGGAGTGAGAGGCTACAGTTTGGACATGGAATGTCACCCAAAGGCTGTGCTGACTGTGTTTTTGGAGGAGGAGTGCCTGCTATGACGCGGGTGGAACGGGAAGCTGGGAACATGTCTTTGAATGGTGCGTCTTGTTCCTGCCCCTTCCTTCTGACTCTTTTGCTGTGCCAGCCTGCCTGGAGTTGACAGCTTTGTTCCCTGTTCTGCCACGGGCCCATTGTGACGGTGCCAAGCAATTGTAGAGCAAAGCCTCCAAAACGATAAATCGAGAGGAGCATTTCCTTCCTTAGGTTGAATTCCTCGGACACCTTGATGCATGGCTTGGGAAACCTGATGGGAAACGTTAAATGAGGAAGATGCGGGTTACAATCTTCTAACCACAGGACATCAAGGGGGCCTGCTGGGGTCTGGGATCAGCTGTGTGTGGAGTCCCGGTGGCACTTGCTCAATATTTTAAAGATGTCCAGTGTTTACTGTGTTCTTCCTCTGTGCCATTTAACTGCCAACTGGGACATCAAAATGGAAATTGAAACGTTTTTAATGGTAGTCAGAATAGCCATTTCCCAAACACCTAGCCAGGAGTAATTGCTCCGAATCTGACTGGAAGATTCCATTCCACCACTGATGGACCAATCTTTCTCACCTACTTAGCACCCTTGCCTGCCTCCCAGCTTCAGTCCCCCCTGTCCCACACCCAGAAGTTCATTTCTTTCTCTCAGTTTGGCTTTGCTCGTATGGAAGGTACTGAGGTGTTCGTGACTTGAGCTAGAGAGCCATTATTTGTGCATAGGTTGTGATAATTGTTTTCGTTTCTGGCCCTTCTTATCTAGGTCCTAAGCACTCCTGATGGTTCATTAGCTCCAGGAGCATCCCTTGGAAGAGGCATGATATGTCCCAAACCTCTGTTCTCTGGAGCTAAAGCTAAAGGGCATTGTGAGCCCCCAGTGTGGGTGCTGGGAGCTGAACTCAGGTCCTCTGGAAGAGCAGCATATACTCTAATCACCGAGTATTCTCTGCAGTCTCCATGGTTTCTTTACACATAAAAGCACCTGTTTCTCCGTGTAAATGGGTCTATGAAGAGTAATTGTTGAGGGGCCTAGGTTCACAGTAACACAGAGAAAGAGATGATGTGTCAGAAGTAAGGATACTGTTCTGGGTTGACCTTTTCCATGACCTTGTCTACACCCACCCATTCACAAGCGCAATACCCATAGAGATGCTATCTAGAGAGTCTGGTGGGTTCATGCTGGGCCTCAGCTCTGGCTTGAGGAAAGTACATGTGGGTCCCTCTGCCTCAGCATTGGGCTTCCGACTCCAGAGTCCTGGAGAGACTGAACCCAGCAGTCTCAGAGAGGTCCTACCGCAGTTCCTCTATGGACCATACCCAGCATCCGCGTGTGCCAGCACAGCAGTGCCTGGCCGCCTGGTTCCCAGACTGTGGCTAACCTCAGAACCCTTCCCAGGTGCGCCTGCACGAGACACTGGGTGCTGTCTGTTGTTGAACGTGCCAGTTTATTTGCATTCTTAATGTCGGCTGTCCAAAATTCTATTTTTAGAATTGCACTCTCTTTGCTTTCATTTCACAACTTATAGGATCTCTGAGAGTTCGAGGCCGGGCTGGACCGACAGCCTCCAAAACAATACAGAGAAACCCTGTCTCATAAAAACAAAACAAAAAACAAACAAACAAAAAAACCCCACAAAAATCCAACACCTATAGTAGCAGTTCTCTTACATAATTGTTTGTCTTGTTTTATGTGACTAAATTCCTAGTAAGTATGTGACTATTACCCCCCAAAAGAAACAGTTCCTCGCAGGGTACGTCTGGGTAGAAGGTGGGATATACCAGTTCGACAGAGAGTGGCTTGAGCCCTGTGCCTCTAGGAATGCACATGTGCTTTGTAAGAAGCTTACACCTGTGTCAGAAGACTGAGCGGAAATCTCTGCCCTGCTACCCTTCGCTTTTGTCTGAGCCTTAGTTCCTGGTCTTTCCAGACAGTGACTACCGTGAGGAGTGAAGGGGACCACACCGTGCTTTGTGGGGGTTGGGAGCTGCCTCCTTCATCCCCTCCCATGCTGGGACCTGGAATGGAGACAGATCTCCTCTCCAGGAGACATGGCCCTTTCTCAGTTCAGGGCTTTCTGGTCACCGATCCCACCAGAAGAGCCCTTGCTTGCAGTGTGGCCTCTCGAGGGATTTATTCTGTTCAGTGTTAGTCACTGAGGCTCCTTGCCAGAATTTTGTGTATCATGTGACTCACTGCTATCAACCCCCCACCCACCCCACCAATTCTCTTGTGACAAAGCAGCAGCCGTCTTCTCCGTGCATCTTGGGGGGGGGGGCACAGAGCATGTCTGACTGTGGGCTGCTCTCTGGCATCCGGGCTGCTTGGGTGAATCCTGGAGGCTGAGCTGCCTCCCAGTCACAGGTCAGCATCCATGAGTTCTAAGAGGATGTCTGAATGTGCTCAGAGAGGACCACCCCCCTCCCCAGCCCAGCCTCCCACACTTCTTCCCTGTGAACTCCAGCAGTGGCGCCATGACTCAGCGCTGCCTTCAAGAGCCGGTGTCTGTGTGGGCTGAAGGCCCCTAGGGCTAGCTCCCACGTGCAGGGTGTCACCACGAGACATCAGAGCTTCGTTTACATCCTCCGGAGAAAAACAGTGCAGGGAGGAAAAGACGAGCCGCTTTGCTGTTGACCCATTTATTATTTACAATATTAAGGCACAAAGTTTAAGCAGCAGCAAAGGACAGGAAAATCTTTGGCTGACCAACTGTATCCACATTCACTGTGCGGGGCTCCCCCGCTCTCCACAGGGGCCCATCTGTACAGATCTGTACACCACCATCTCTCAATACGGTCGGGTGACACACAGATGCCAAAGATTACACATGGACGCCAGAGCATGCTGGGCAGTGCGGCACATGCCGCCAGCGAAGGGACACACACACACACACACACACACACACACACACACACACACGTGCACGCACGCACGCACGCACACAGCAAGTGGAAAGGGCAGTAGCCCCAGGGCACTCAGTCAGGCTGAAGCTGGGCCAGTGCTGGCCCTGCTTCACAGAATTTGACAGAGTCTGTCAATGCCTCACTGAGGAGAAGGCGCCACCGTCCCTCCTAGAAAACATCCAAATACAAGCACTGTGACCAAGCCTGTCCCCGGCCTGCTTTGTAATAAATACTCACAGGTATGCATGTGAGAGCAGACTCCCAGGCAAAGTCACCAGTAAACACAACACAGGCAGTAGAACTGGAGAAGCTGAGGCTAGAAACTGCTGGATCCGCACTGCCTTGGAGGGAGGGCAGAGGACACACCTCAGTCACAACATACAGACAAGAACATGCACTTACGTATGGTTCCGTTTTACAGAATAACCACTAGGTGTTCACACAATGATTATGTACTTAGGTCTATAGTATATGTGGGGGTGTGAAAGCATATGAGGCCTGGCAAGAGAAACGGGCTTGAAAACGAGGTCCTAGAGGTCACCCTAATGACTCTCCCAACATGTCTTACTCTTCTAAAAAGTGTGCATGCGTGCGTGCGTGCGTGCGTGTGTGTGTGTGTGTGTGTGCATGTATGTGTATGCATGCATGCATATATGTATGTACCACTTGCAGGAGCTGGATCTGTCCTACCACGTTAGTCCTGGGGATCAAACTCAGGTCTTGGCTTTGGGTGCAATGCCTTTTCCCCTGAGTCGTCTCGCTGGCCCTGGGACTCTTATTCTGATTAATTGCCCTGTTTTCATCCACTTCTGCTGTGAACAATCTGGGATTACTCCCCAAACTCGCATCCATCCTCAACAGACAAGGACCTCTCACCTCACGGGGAATCAGAGGGATATGCCAGACCCTGGAGGCCATTCTGCTGGAGGAGTCAACAACAAATTTACCTGGGGACCTCTGCAGTCCTCCCAAGCAGAGAGCACACGGCAAACAGTAGGATCTTCTGGATAGTAAGAAATTCCACTCAGATGTATGCACTTACACATACACATTGTAATATACCATTAAATTACTAAACAAGGCAGGTATACTACCGAAAAGAGGAAAACCACTGCTGGCTGGCTGGATCTGGGGTTGCTACTACACACCCCGTCTCCCAGGGAGCCACCCCACAAGCAAATGCCTCACATCGACTACAGACATCTGGAACACGCTAATTAATTAGAAAGAGCAGAAGAAGGCAACAGTGTACTTAGAGACTGGCTGACTCAGCTTATACGGAAGTTGCTGGTTTTTTTCCTGGCTTCACCACTTAAGAACATTTGTCAGATCCTGCTTCCAACGTACACGAGACTCCTTTGCGTAAAGGGGCGTGTGATCCCCGGAGGACACAGAGAAACACTGTACTCACTCCAGTGCCACAGGAAGAGGCTTGGAGCACACCCCCTCCCACACAGCACGGCTCTCTGCAGCTCACACGAGTGACCTGCCCGGAAACTCCACACATGCCACTATCATCTTCTCCGGGACTTAGGCTGATCTGACTGCTCACACACACGTCTCTGGGACCCGCAGGATACAGGGAGGGAGGACTCAGCTCACCACCTTGTGGGAGGAGGGGCTTCAGCCACTATGTATTGTGTGTGCAGGTGGCTGAGGCCCAGCTTGAGGCAGCCAACAGGACACACATCTTGCCTCTCTGCAGGGGACCCCGGAGTTTCTTTCCTGGGCGCAGAACCACTGTATTCTCTGTTCTGAGGCCAGAACTCACTTGGGAGCAACTTTCTTGAAATCCACTCACGGCAAAGGTCAAGCTGAATGGGCTCCAGAGGGAGACCTTTGCAGGACTGAACAAGACCGCCCTCACCTGTCCTTGTGCTCACCCTCAGGGAAAGCTGGGGTTAGAACAGGGCAGCCCCACCCCGGAGGCACACTGGGGACATGCTGGCCGCTCCACAGTTGCTGGCCACCAGCTTCTGGGAAAGGAACAATGGCAAGTATTCAGCACACACTCTTAATTCTTTGGAAATTAATGTGCTTTTCCTGGCAGCTTTGAGCTGTGAACCTCCAGACAGGAAGAGTTCTTAAACACGGATGCTGCTTAATGAAACCAAAGTGGCGGAGACCTGGCCAACACCTCTCACGTGATACCAGGAGATGGCTGCACGGCCCACTCAGGGACAAAGCGGGATGCTGGTAAAGTCATCGCTAAAAGCCCCAGCCTGTACCCTTTACCCTGACACAAAAGCCTCAGGTTCTATGAGCAAACGCCCTGGGAGCCCTGAAGACTAGACCTTTGGTTTGCGAGGAAGGGCCTTATTTATTTATTTATTTTAATCTGCTTTGCAGTTGTGCTTTTAACAGAACCATGAAGACGTCCTTCCCCACTTGAGGGTGTAGTAGTGGTTTGGGAGTGACTGGTTTGGGCTTAGTCCTGTTCTCAGGCCCCAAGAGGTGTGGCAGCTTCCCTGTGTATCACAAATGGGCCGCAGCGCACCAGGCACAGCTCCGTACACCATGTTCAGGGCCGTGTGGCCTGTGGTGGAGACCCCTCTCCTGAGTCTGTGAGCTCTGGCATTGGCTTTGCAGCTGGGAGATGCGCTGTAGCCTCTCGGGCTCAGCTTCTGCATCTGAGTGCAGCCACGAGAGTCAGCCTGGCCTTGCTCCCCTGGCGCTTTAAGGACCCGTTGGCAGCCACATCAGTCCTCAAACGCCGCCAATACTAAAATGCCCTGGGAGCGCTGTTGTCCTCAGTGTCAATCAAGAGCAGACCCTGTGAGCTCACCGGAGCTCCGAATGGCTGCTGAGTGCTACAGCTCCTTCGCCCTGTTCGTCCCAAGATGGAAGACTGAAGGGCCTTGGCCTTAAAGCCATGGCCTTGTTCTCAACATGCAGCCTCGGACAAAAGCCACACAGGACACATGCAGTTAAAGCTGTGTTAACTGTCCACGTCCCCCTTGGGCTCTGGCAACTGAAATGCAGGCAGTGCAGGAGGGCTGGAGCAGGGGACCCTCCGCCCAAGTGTGCACTGTGTCCGGGACATGCAGACGAGACTTTGGGTAAACCGGGAAGTCCTTCATCCTATGACGGGAGACAGCCTAAATTTGGGGCGGGCGAGCTTAGACACGGCACGGGGCTGGAAGACCTCACCAATTTCCCACCTCTATACACGCTCCTCCCTGGTTTGTCCCCTGCATCAACTGGAGACAATATGCTCTTAAGAGAGTTAGCTGCCATCAACCGAACTCCACACTCTATCCAAAATGGCCCCACCCTCACCTGCATCCATCCTCCAGCCCCTCTCAGCTGGCAAGATCTCCTATGCTGTCTCCTCCCCCCCCCCGCCCCCCACAGGACACAGGGCAAGCTCAGTACACAGGCTGCCAGAGATGTGAGGTGAGAAGCGGTAAGGGGCGTGTGGGATCTCCAAGCCACGGCCGACGCCAAGTGGGGCTTGGCGAGGCCGGTCCCACCATCCTGCCAGATGGTTTCCTTCCCCTCCTCCTCTCCTCTCCTTTCCTCTGCTCTCCTCTCCTGTCCTCTGATCTCCAGGCTACCCCTCTTACAATCCACCCATCACCTCAACCTGGGAGGCTGTCATTTCACCCAGGTTTACCTTGGGGACAAGTCTTGGAACAAGTGACCCAAGTAGAGGTTCCCCGAGCAACGCCACCATCTTCAGTGCTGCTTTTAAGAGGGACTTTTAAAAGTCACAGACTTACTGCTTTTCTTTTTGCCCCTGAGGGACAGGCGGTGATGAGGAAAGAGACTTGGAAAAACAAATCCTACTGAGCTGGGCATAGTTCGGGAGCCTGGGGGGCCACCTGTGCCTGGACAGCCTCTCCTGTGCTCGGCAGGAAGCCGGTGTCCACAGCAATGTGCGTGAGACCTTGCTGTGGCAGCAGCCTCAGAGAGCCCGGCCTCCTCGCTCGAGGTGGCTCACTGTCAGGACAAGGCCGCCTCGCTGCGGGTAAGCTGTATCCCTTGTGAGACACTGGCCACGCCCTGTATCCACCAATCTTGTGTTGCAAAGCTAGTTCCCAGCAAAGAAACAGTGACTGGGGAAGCCTTGGCGCTTACCAATAGCAACCAGGGTAGGATGGGACAGGGGAGAACGATGGAAACACCTGAAAGCCTCAAATATGAAAGGGGCCCAGGCAGCCCGGTGAGATCTTGGATGCCCCCTGGAGAGCTGTGTGTAAGCCAGCGTCGAGTACCTGCGGCACCTGCTCATACTGAAGTCTCCCTAACAGGGCAATGGGGGGGGGGGGGGTTAATGGTCAAGTTCCTTGCAAGAGCGGGTGGGAGTGAAAATCAACTCAGTGACCATGGACACCTGCTCCTCATCATCCAGGTTCCTCTGGCTCGCAGTGAAACTGACAGCTGTGGCTCTGCAAAGCAAAGGGGGGCGGGGCCGCCAGGGTGCCAGCATGAGGCTCTCCCCCACTGGACACAGCACAGCAAAGATGGCAGTCTCCTAAGTCCCATATGGAAGGAAATCTGCTGTCTCAGTAAACAGAAAAAAAAATACAACAACAAAATAAAGTAAGTAGAGCAGAGACAGCTCCAGGAGCTTAGGGCGGGTGAGGAACGCGCTCACCACACTCCCATCCTGTCAGAAAACACCACTCAACCCGGACAAGCAAAGCCTCACACTGAGACCACCAGCCAAACAGCCAAGTAGGTGACAAAGCTTGCCTGTGGAATTCCCCATTTCCCTGGATGTATCCTGGAAGGGCTGGTGTGTGGGTACACACACACACACACACACACACACACACACACACACACACACGCACTCGCACACCAGTGCGTGCATAACTCCACAATGGCACAGAACTACATTATGCCAGGATGGGTTTTCAGGACTTCTAGCCGATTCTTCTTAAACCTTTGCGAAGAGGCAAAGGGAATGGGGTGATTCCAAGGAAGCTCTTCTTCATCTGTTTGTAAGCTAACAGTGGGGGTGCATGGAGCCTCCCCAGACACACAGTTTCTCTACAGTGGACAGCCCCTCCTATTCTCCTCAGCTCCGCTTCCAAGTCTGCACGCATCTTCTGTCCCTCCCTCTGCAGTCTTGTGAGCCGGCTGGCTTGGTGACGTTCTGAAGCGTCCACACCTGTCCAGGTTTTGCCGTTGCTACCATCTACATCTTCCTTCGGCCCCTTCCTGTCAGCATGCTGGTGTGACGCTCCACAGGGTGAGGCTAGATAAGCACTTCCAACATCTCCCCGTCCGGGAACTCCGGCTTGTGCAACAAGCTGCTCACGCGGCCTCTGTGGTCTGCCGGCTTTCCGTGACCAGGAGAGCTCTCTGCCAAACAGAGGGCAAACGTCAGCAACCCTGTGCCTGGGTTTTCCAAGCACTCTCCGTTATGGAAGCATTTCTAATGCCGTGGCCTGCCCAGGAGTCTCATGCACCTTGAGTACTCGTGGGAGGCTGAGAATATCGCGGGCTGTGTGCGTGCGTGCGTGCGTGCGTGCGTGCGTGTGTGTGTGTGTGTGTGTGTGTGTGTGTCTGTGTATGTGTGTCTGTGTGTGTGTCTGTGTCTGTGTGTCTGTGTGTACACAGGATGACTGGTTCGGGGACTCTCAGGGAAGACGGTGTCTTAGGGTAAAAACTAAGAAAGGAGAAAGCTGACAAAGACCCAAATTCCCGTTTCCTGTCTGCCTAGATGTGAGCCAGCAGCCTCACACTTCACGGTCTTACCATGCTGTACCTAACATGAGGGACTGTCCCCTCAGACCACGTGAGACCCCACAGTGAGTCCCCCTAAGTGACTTCTATCGGGTGTTTGCTCCACCACCCCCCAGGGAAGGGTAGAGCACACATGTCACCGGGTCACTCGAGCTGGGTGCTCCTCCTCTTCAGTAATGAACTAAGCCTGCCTGGCCACATTTCAGCCCCAGCACACACAGCCTGGAAGTCACCGTGATGACCCCCGACTGAAGCGCAGGAACCGACTGGGCTTCCTGATCTCTCTAGATCCCCTCCCTCCCTCGAGTCAGACAGTCTCATGGGGTCTCCATGTGTGGGAGAGGTAGGGGCCACATACCCAGTTTCTCCATGGTCCCTTTGGCAGCTGGGTGTTTCAGAATGGGGCTGTTGGAAGGGGCGGTGCTCAGCCTGCCTCTGCCGGGGAGGGAGGCCATGCTGGGCCAGAAGAGCTCGGTGCCCTTGTCCGTCTGGGTGCTGCTGTCCTTGCTGCCTGTCTTGGCGTGGGTGCTGCTGGCCGGCGTGGTGGAGGCAGGAGGGGACAGTGCAGAGGCGGGCGTGGTTGGCGGCAGAGGGGCAGACGCCTGTCCCTGATGCTCCTTCCCCAGCAGGAACCCTGAAGGGAGAAGAAGAGGCTTTTCAAGGACAATTTGTTTCTTCCATTTCCCTTTGTGAGAAAACTTACCCTTTTCTTTCCGGACTGGGGATGACGTCATTCGTTCGATGATTTATCCACTAAACCCTTAATAAGCACTTGTGTGCATGCTTGATGAAATGAGAAACAGTCCTATATTATATCCCGAGTCCCATGCAATGAAATCCTTTACAGACTCGGGATTTGTATTCTAAATTCAAACAACTGAAAACCATGGTCGGACTGGTGGGGTAGCTCAGGGGGTAAAAAGCGCTTGCCAACCCTTGCCAACCTGAATCCCATCTCGCCACTGCCCAGACTCAGACACAGTCATCTGCAGGTGAGATGAATAAATCTCTCCTGGTGCTCAGCCTTCGGGAGGCAGACACTGCAGCCTCCATCACCTCTTCAAGTCCGCCATGCACGAGACGGGAAAAACCTGAGGTCCTGTGCAGGAGCCTGTGAGGCTGACCTCCACCGGAACCTCAGAGTCCCTCCTGTATCTGGACGTGTGGGCACTAATTACACCGACACGTGGTGTAGACTACACGGCCAGGCTTCCTTGGGCCAGGGTATCCAACTCTCAGTCCTGTGCTGATCTGGTCAACACTGAGATACAAGCCCAGGCACCGGCCATGTGTACCTGGGTGCAAGCCACAGTGATTTCTCTTAGGGAAGTCTCCATCAGAGCTGAACAATTTCAGACTCCTGAGACAGACCCTCCTCTTACTGGGTTGGCAGCTAAGTGTCCCTGGGATGGTCTTTGTCGTAAATTCTGATCCTCTAGGATGAGCTGAGGTTGTAGGGGCCACCTGTAGAGGGACTTCAAGCAGATGTGCTGTCTGAGGCTTTGACACCCCCCCCCCATTCTGTGGATTCATACGGAAGCTCTCATACACTGTAGGACAAAACAACATGAGAAAACTAACTCTGGGTAGAGCAGACAAATGGTGTGCCCAGCCAGAGACAGGTGTCAACCAAGGGCCAGCCCCCTGGAGTTACAGCAAGTAGAGCAAGAGAGAGAAGACTTGGAAGCTTCCTCTCTAAGCTCACTGGCCCAGCCCGTCTACTCTAGGACACCAGCCGGCAGTTGCAGACATGGCCTACGATGGAGTGACATTCTGAGGGTGCGGTACTTTGAATGCATTTGGCCCCCATAATCTCACAGGGAGCGGCACTGTTAGGAGGTGTGGCTTTGCTGGAGTGGGCGTGGCCTTGTTGAAGGAAGTGTGTCACTGTGGGGGCGGGCTTTGAGATTTCTTAAACTCAAGAATCTGCTCGGTATCTCAGTCAACTCCCTGTTGCTTGCAAGATGTAGCCCTCCCAGGTCCAGCACATCTGCCTGCAGGCCACCAGGATAATAGGTTAAACCTCTGAAACTGTAAGCGAGCCAGCCCTTATAAGAACTGCCTTGGTCAGGCATGCCGTCTCTTCACAGCAACAGAAACCTAAGACAGAGGGGCTCTAGGTTTGTCCTCCTAAGACACTTCATGCTCTTCCTGTCAATAATACTAACAAGAATCAACACAAGCCCAAGAGCTCACAAACCTTTAGAATCTACACCGTCCTTTCAAGGGCCACATTTAACTCTCACAACCCAGCATGACTGGCTTTCTTCCCATTGAAGAATGTTTAAACTGAGGTAAGGTGGGGGCTGGAGAGATGGCTCAGAGGTTAAGAGCACTGGGTACTCTTCCAGAGGTCCTGAGTTCAATTCCCAGCAACTACATGGGAGCTCACAGCCACCTGTAGTGAGATCTGGTGCCCCCTCCTGGCGGGCAGGCAGAGCACTGTATACATAATAAACATTTTTTTTTTTAAATTCAGATGAGAATATAACCCGAGTCCCAGAAGTATGGGAAAGCCACTGTTCTCTGGGTCCTCATCTTACCTACACTCCCCTTCCAGGTTTTTTCTTCCTTCTTCTCTTCCATCAGCTGGCTGCTGGTAAGTGACGTCTGGCGTGAATGTGTCCCGGTGGCTGCAGCGATGGACGGGACAGAACGGGCGGGCCGCAGGCTGGAAGAGTCCGTCTTCCCAGCGTCCTTACGGGATCGTTGCTGAAGGACTTTTATCATGGCATCCTTCTCTATGATTTTGGCATGGAGGTTTTTAATACTGTAAAACCAACCGAAGAAGAAACAAGTATCATTAAAATGCCATTTAGCTTTAAAACTCTGGAACGGTTGTCTCAGGGACCTTACAGTAATCGTGGGGTGCAGGGTCGGGAGGAGCAGAAGCTGTCAATCACTGGCAGTCTGCAAGCTGTGCCCTCCACAGGAGATCATAGCAGAGGGAGATGGGGGGGGGGAGGGGGCACGGGACACACTCCCAGGGGCACCGCGAGGATGACTGTAGCCATCTGCTAGGGACTGCAGGCTAAGCATTAGGGGAAAGAATGGGTGTAGAACAGCAGGGGAGCACAGGAGCTGGGCCTGAGACAAGGGAGGGGCTGTAATGCCGGGACACCTCTATAGTGGGAGAAAATGAAGAAACGGCTAGGTTCTTGGAGGAAAGACCACTTCCCCCCACCGGTGGCTGGTGACGATGAGCAGTAAGCCTTGAACCCGTTCCTGCCACTAGCTTAAGCGCGAGACACCTTCTCCCAGGACAAGAGTCTTTGGGGTCCCGAGGCCATTTAGAAGGGAGAGCAGTGCGTCTGGGTGGAGGCGCGGAGAGCAGTGCGTCTGGGTGGAGGCGCCGGGGCGGACGTGCCGCAGCCGCTGCTGCCTCCACTCAGACCCGAGGCCACGCGTGGCTGTCCTTACGTGTACTCCATGTCCTGACACCTCCTGTTAGCCTGCACCACCTCCTCTTCCTCCGGCCAGACGTGGGCCTCCAGTGAGCTCTCGCCGTAGCTGCCGTTCCTCGAGTGGTTGATGACGGTGGTGTCCCTAGGAACATGAGACACGCTTGGACTCTCGAGCCCTTTTCCTTGGCCTTCTACACAAACACACTCAGAACGGAGACAGTGAGAGTCACTCAGTACCAGATGCGTGTGTCACCTTCTAGAGGACACCAAAGGCCCTCTATCTCGACTATCCCACCTCGGGGTCATTCTCGACAGAGGCCAGGATGGGGCATGTGGGACAGCATCCCAGGGAAGCCCCCTGCCAGACTGCCCTAAAGAATTCAGACACCATCTAAGGGCTGCGTTCACCGACAATGACTACTTCACCTTGAGCCCTCATCAAAGACGCTGCTGTCTGCAGCAGGAAGACTATTACAGGGTCCACAAAGGGCCAAAGTACATTGAACAAGTGACTGCCCACAGAGAGCTCATCTCCAAACAGAACATCTGTCACACGCCCTACACCCAGGGGTCAAGGAAAGGGGCAGGAAGACGGAAAGACCTAGAGGACTTGGAGAACTGCTCTGAAATAGTGACTTCTTGACGTCAGGGAAGTGACACCCATGAACTCTCAATAGCGCCTGCACAAGGCCACACCAATCAACATTCCAGCATGGATGGAAGAGTCAACGGCTGCCCAGAGTCCATTTTCTTTAGCGACAAGCTTCCTGCTTGGGCTGCCTATGTCCCAGTGGCCATCCCTACACTATATGTGCATACAGGCAACACTAATCGGACGTGTGTGTGTGTGTGTGTGTGTGTGTGTGTGTGTGTGTGTGTGTGTGTGTACTCACAGAAGAAGAGGATTTGAATTCAAGAGAGGGTCCGGGGAGGAGTTGGGGATGCTGAGAGATGGATAAAATTAAAATACAATATACTCAAGCCAGGCAGTGGTGGTGCATGCCTTTAATTCCAGCACTTGGGAGGCAGAGGCCAGAGTTACACACAAAGAAACCCTATCTCAAAGAAAAAAAAAAGCATTATACTCACTAATGTGAAATCATGTCATGAACAAAGGGGACAATATCTCAGGAAAGCAATATTCAGTAATAAAAAGCCCCTGCTTCTTCTGCTATAAGGCTGCCCGCTGAGCTGGGCTGATGCTGTGAGCATGTGGAAAGGAGCCTGCAGGTATGGTCTGCTGACACACGGAGGTCATGCCTACTGCATGTGCTGCAGGTTTGGTCTGCTGACACACGGAGGCCACGCCTACTGCACGTGCTGCTGGCCCTGGACTCACCCTCCACTCCCATCCCAGTTCACTCTGCTAATCACAGCCCAAGTTCCGCCTCTGTGCATCACCCATGTATTTTACATGGGGGTTCGGTAGCTACCCAGTACCCTTCCTAAAGACAATGAGAAAGCACTTAGTCCATTCAGGGGACAGCAGAGCAAAGTACACATGGTGTCCATGCTTAATGTGCCCAACCATGGGGAGACTAGGACTGGGTGACTCCGGAGCCCTTAGCCATGCCCAGCATGCTTCCAAGTTCCTTTTGTCTTTGCAAAGATGCGCCGTGATAAAGCAAACGCACGGAAGGGCCGGGGTGAGAACATGGCCCAGAAGAGTAAACCCGGTGGCTGGGAATAGATCAGAAAAGCAAATCATGGAGAAAGCAGGCTGACGGCTTTGGGCCACGACACAGAAGTACAAACACCCCAGAGTTCTCAGAAACAGCTGCACGGGGGCTGGTGGCTACCACAGTTCCCGTCAAGTTACTTTGGAAAAAACACTCTTGTGGCGCCGGAGGCAAATTTAAAAATTCATGTTTATGTTGCAGAGTAAGCCAGCGGCCATAGTGGGTAAAAAAAAAACAACACAGATAGCAAGTGTTCATAAACTCCGAAGGGACACTACTTTGCTTTGAAAACCTTGCCCACACATTAAAACAAAACCAAAGAACCTCCTCTTCAAAGTCCTAGCCAATGCCGTCAAGATGAATAAGACCTGTGTAGAGCAACCGCCGTCTTCACAGGCCCAGCTGTGTCTACTTGCAAACGCTCGTCCACCACCCACCTCAGCTGGGCTTGTTGATGGTCCCTGACGGGGGTGAGGTGGGGTGGGGAAGGTCATGAGATCTGCACCCACATACCACTCTTCCTGAACAGTTGTCTGCAATTCTGCCCTGACCACACAAGGCCCAGGGCCTTAGGAAGGACTAGAAGATAAATAGGATGGGACAAACCAGGGGAGACGGGGCTACGTCTGTGCACCCTCTGGGTGAAGATTTTCCAATGTGACTGCTTTGGGGTCCCCTAAGTCCCTGCTAGTGACCCCCTCCCTCCCTGTAAGTGAGCCCAATAAACTCATAGGTTCCCCAGGGTCGCCTTGGTGGGGTGCTCTGGTTTGCCCAAGGAACCTTCCGAGGAGGGGTAGATGCCGTTCACACTTCTCCCAGGGAGAGAATTTGAGTACCAGATGGCAAAAACAGTTGGTGTATAAAGACCGCATCGGTGGTTTAAAAACCGGTGCTTACGAACGTGACACACACAGCTGACTGAAAAGTCAGGACATAATGGCTATAAACAGTCACTCTGGCCCACTATCTGCAGTCAGTCAGCATGGAGATGGGCACTCAGGGTTTCAGTCTTTCTCAAAGCAGGTTGTAGTGTCCTTTCCCCCTGTATCATCAGGAAAGCCACGGTGGCACGATCAAATTGGCTTTTGTTTGTTTTCTGTCTTGCTTTTATGGGATTTACTTTGTTCTCATGCACGCACACACGGCACACAGTGTATAGGTGTCCACAGATGCCCAAAGAGGGAGGAGGGTCCCTGGAGCTGGAGCTATAACTCAGTTTCTGTCTACCAGAACTTCTGTGTCTTCAAGTAGTATTGCAGCTTTAAAATTCCCCGTGGGTTGGGCAGATGCCCCAGTGATGGTCATGCAAGCATGACCTGAGTTTAAATCCTAGAAGCCCTGTGAGTCTCCGGCTTGGAGCACACGTCTGTAATCCCAGCAGGTCACCTGGGAGGTGAGAGGCAGAGCTGGGAGACTCCCTGAGAGCCCCTGGGCCAGCTACACCAGCGTGTTCTGTGGAAACGTGTGGAGAGACCCTGCCAATCAAGCAGAAGGTGAACGCCAATGTTGCTCTCGGACATCTGTGTTCCATGGCCTGTGTGTGAGCACACTGACATACACACACATACAAGGGTTTACGAAAAATTGACGTGAGTCAGGAAAGAGGGCAAGCTGAGAGCTTTTCTGTCTTTAATTCTGTCATAGATTCTTTTGGTTTGGGTGGTGGATTATGCGTATAAAATATATTTGATACTGAAAGGGTAAAATCCAATATCAAGCCCCACAGCTTTCCATCTTGAAAACCAATTCTAATTGTACAGAAGTTCACTGAGTTGTATGGACTTTGGGTCTGGTTAATCGTTCTGCGTGATGTTTTTATTTGCAAGGATTTTTAAAAAAAAATAATAAAGTTTATAAAATTGAAAAAAAAATGACAGATCTTGCTCCCTGCAATAGGGCTCTCCGGGATCCCTGAAATTTTTTATTTGCTTTTGAGACAAAGTCTAACTCTAGCCCAGGCTGACCTAGGATTCCTCATCCCCCTGGCCCAGCCTTATGAATGCTGGGATTCACTGTCAGCTCCGTTCTCTGCTGCCCCCCCCCCCCCCCGTGTCTGCGTCCTGAACAGCCGCCTCTTACCTCTCGGCCGTGGCGGAGGCAGCGGCGCTCACGGCAAAGTGCCGGATGGCGCTTTCTTCCAGGTACTTCTGCTCCCACTTGGTCATGTCTGCCTCCAAGGCTAGGATCCGCTCCTCCTTCTCCCGTACCAGCTCCATGAGGGCAGGGGCGTTGTATTCCGGGAGACTGGCTGGCTGGCCATTCCCATGTTTCTGGAGAAGTGAAACAACATCGCGATGATCCGAATGGGCCACAGGAACCACCACACCAACCTGGCCCATCACTATCTGAAGAGAGATACTCGGTTCTTCAGGCCTGCATTGTCACACGCCAACACCAGCCAGGCCCACGCTCCCTCTCTCCATACGAACCACCTCAGTTCAGTGGGTGCTACCCCATGCCTCCTCTGCGTCCCTCTATCCCATCCAATGCCCGCAGAGCTCTAGAGAACACGTACTGTTCCGGTTTTACACGCACAGACTAAGTCCCTGGGGGAACGTATCCGTGACTTGATGTCTCTAGCTAACGCATAGCAGAGTCGGGTTTCAAATCCAGGTCCGGCTAGATGTAAACCATGTAAACCATGCAGTTAATATATACAGATTCTAGAACAAGGTTTAGTCCTGTACCCTGTCATCTGGAGTAAATGAACTTGAGAGTGCAGCAGGAATGTCCTGTGGGCTCACCCGTGCTAGGCAAGTGTTCAACCATTGAACTACATACAGCCTGAGCCCTGGGCAGTTTTTCTTAATTTGCAGTTGTAAGTACAGGAGAAGCCCAATTGTCTGGGGGGAGGAGTCAAAAGTCCTGTCCTGTGGATCTAATGCTGGAACCCGTGCCCCAAACCAACGAAGGATCCCTGGCATCCTGGCCATCTCATGCCCCCATGCTTCTGGAAGCTTCCGGAACACCCTAAAGGAACAAGTGGACTGTGTGCAGGGGTGGACACACAGCTGTGCCCAGCATCTTTCTGTGTGGCAGACTGACAATAAGCCACTCCGAAGTCGGGTGGCCTGTCTTGTCCTTCACCGGGGTGTTGATGGCTCTGAACTCTGTCACACTATGACCTCAGCATGAATCCTAAAGACACCAGACACAAGTCTTGTTGCCACAAAAAGCAAGGTGTGGTATATGGGCTGCTTTGGAAGTTGTCCCTAGGCTGCCCATGCGTGTGCGAGGTTGAGTGTGTGTGTCGGGCGAGCGTATGTATAGTCACAGCAAGGCTGTATGATTCCAGACGCACATTCCTTCTTTATTTTCCATTGAGCGTTGTGGAGTATTCCTTTACACTGCGTGAATACACGCCACCATGACTGGTTTAATAAAAAGCGAAATGGCCAATAGCTAGGCAGAGAGAATGCTGGGAAGAAGAAGGGCAGAGCTTCCAGGAGTTGCCAGCAGAGGGCGTGCAGGAGAGGTGACAAATCATGAGCCACATGGAAGCATGTAAATGAATAGAAATGGGCTAAGTTATAGAAGCTAGTTAGAAACAAGCCTAAGCTATTGGACCAGCTTTCATAATTAATAAGTCTCCATGTTGTTTCTTTGTGAGCTGGTGGCTCAAAGAATAATCTGTCTCCAGCTCAGCCTGGTCCCACAGCACCTAGAGTAAAAGACCCTCAGATAGGCCACCTACCCGCACGGGTGGACAGCACATTGGCTGGAAAAGAACATTCTTTCTGGCTCTAGTTGAGTTCCCGTTGTCTGCCAGAGATTAAGGTCTACTACCATCTGGGAACCAGGCTTGCCCTCATTGTGAAGATGGAGGTCCCAGCAGCTGAGCAACAGAGAATGGTTGCTGGAGAGCAGCCCTGTCCTGTGCCACAGTGAGTACCACCGGGAGCCCAGGGGAAGACATGCTTTCCTTACACAAACCAAGCTTGCCATGGAGGCAAGATAGGCAGGCCAGGGAGGAATTCCTCACTTTCTAGAACACTGGCATCACTGTGGCTGAGCAGACCCAAGGCTGTGCTTTCAAGTACAGCCACAACCACGTGGCCCCTATCCAGTAGATAATTCCACGGAGCCCGTCTCGCACATATGTATCCCAGGCAGCTGCAGGGAGAGTGTCCCCACCTCCCTCGAAAGCCAGATGTCTTGGCTAGGGTTTCAGTTGCTGCAACGAAATACTAGACCAAAAGGCGAGTTGGAGAGGAAAGGGTTTATTTGTCTTATACTTCAGCATTGATGTTCATCATCAAAGGAAGTCAGGGTAGGAACTTTAAAAGGGCAGGAACCTGGAGGCAGGAGCTGGTGCAGAGGCCATGGAGGGTGCTGCTTACTGGCTTGCTTTCCAAGGCTTGCTCAGCCTGCTTTCTTAGAGAACCCAGGACCACCAGCCCAGGGATGGCCCCACCCACTATGGGCAGGGCCCCCCCCCATCGATCACTAATTGAGAAGATGCCCTACAGCTGGATCTCGTGGAGGCGTTTCCTCAGCTGAGGCTCCTTCACCTCTGATGACTCTAGCTCGTGTCAGGTCGACACAGAACCGGCCAGTGCACCAGGCAAGCCCCAGCACATCTGAGGCAGGAGCTCCTGGCTCTCCTGGATCGGCATTTCCTGCAGGAATTCTCTTTGCTGAGACATGTGTGGGCCCTGGGCTGGCACGCTCCTCCCTGTGTTTCCTCACAGCTGCGCTTCATGGCCATCTGTCACCAGCAGGGCAGATGCAGGAAGAGCTGTAGTTTATGGCCAGGCTCACGACAGGGAGTCCTGAGCTCCTTCCTGCCTCTACTCAACTCAGTGATGTGACCAATGTGACTTCTACTCACCTTTACCGGCGGCTCCTCCTTGGCTCCCGGGAGTCACCAAACTCGGAGACTTCGGGGAAGCCCCTGACTGACCACTGGCACCATCAGCGGCTCTTCTCTGACCACCGCAGGCGCCCCTAACATGAACTTCTCCCCAGTGTTGGCTCTCCGCTGGCCAATCGCCTTCCGAACGGTTGGACACCACCGCATCAGGGGCCACCACAGACACTCCCTCCAGAGCGACGCCCACTGCCCTGGCCTTGCAACACTCCTCAAGGCCCTGTCCTTTACAGGCCCGCCTCCCCTGCCTCTGTTACCTCGTCCTGCATGCCCGTCAAACCCACATCCCTCTGTAAGGTCACCTACGGTGCAGTCCCCTCTTGCTAGGCCCAATTCAGAGACCCCAGTCTCTCTGGAGGCCATGTAGGTGCACGGAGTCCATTGCACGGCCCTCGAGGGGCTGCTAGGTGGACCTGAAAGCCTCTGTCCGTCTGTCTGTCCGTCCGTCCGTCAGTCTGGCCAGCCCGCCACTCACCTGCTGCGTCCTCAGAGCGTCTAGCTCCCTCTCCAGCCAGGTCCGCAGCCTGCGCTCCATCTGCTCCCGCTTCTCGCATGCAGACTGCAGCTGGGTCAGGGCCTGCTGCAGCTTCTCAACCTTCTCCACGTAGGCTTGCTTCTCTCGCAGCTGAGGGGAGACAGCAAAGTAGCACACGCAGAGTGGACACCAGTGAGCGCCGCAGCCGGGCCGGGAGACAGCTGGAGACCCGCTAAACCCCAGGAGTGTGCGCCGCCCCACTCGGTCCCTCAGGAGGCTGGGGCAGGTACAGCAGGGTGGCCAGGAGGTGCCTGTCATGGGCCTTTGAGCAGCTCTCTACTCTGCCTCATTACTGTGGTTTTTTTTTTTTAAAGCTTATTATTATGCATGCAGTGTTCTGTCTGCATGTCTGCCTGCACACCAGAAGGGGGCACCAGATCTCATTACAGATGGTTGTGAGCCACCATGTGGTGGCTGGGAAATGAACTCAGGACCTCTGGAAGAGCAAGCAGTCAGTGCTGTTAACCTCTGAGCCTTATCTCCAGCTCATCATTACTGGTTTCTAATCATAGCACCGGCAGCCATTGGAAATGAGATCAATAAAAACTTTTTAGTGTATAGAAATGCTTAGTCTCTAAAGTTAAATGAAAAACCACAAACTAGAAGTTGCTTATATTATCACAACTGTCTCTGTCTACCTATATATAGATCCATGAAAAAGAGCCTAGGAAAGCCTTGAAATATTTTTCATGTTTGTCTGTATGACAGAAAGGCCATTTCTGTAAGAAATTTCATTACTTTCTAATTTTTCTCCAATAACAAATTATTTCTAAAATACACAAATGTGTTAATAAAACAATACAATATGTAATAAACATGCTGCAATTATTTCTATAATAGAGGAATTATGCACATGCGTATGATCTGTATGTATGCATACACACACTGTGCCCATTTGCATGTTTGCTAGTGAGTAGGCCGTTTATGGGGTAACTTTCTCCTCTGTGGCTGAGTAGCTTCCTTGCGGGACAGGAAGGGCCCAGAGGACCCCTGAGCCAGTGACAGAGGAAGCAGGAAGGAATGCCGAGTGATTACATAAACAAACCGTCAGGTATGGATTTAGTGTCATGACCCCTGTACAGTGCCAAACCCTAATCCTCAGTGCTTGGCACTCTGTCTGCTCTGGGAGTCTGGCGCCCATTCACACGTCCAGGTGTTTTCTATCTCCCTAGGAGTCAGCTTGGGCCAAGAAATCATGCCAAAACATTTCCCGGGCCTGATGCTCCGCGAGAAGACAGCGAGCGGTGCTGTTTTCCTGTCTCTCTGGCCAAAGCACAGTCGCACAGGCCGGCTGCAACGGGCCAGGTCTGGCAGCCTGTTGCTGAGGGAGGCCCCTCGCTGTCCTGCAGCTCTGCCTCGAGCCACGCCTGCTTCTGCCTGCTCAAGCGTGTCAGACAGAGCCACTGGAGTGACACAGAGCCCCTCCGAGTGTGCCGGGAGGAGACAGCTTCAACTGACTTCAGGATAATTTTTTTCATAGTGCTTTTGGTTATTCACGTTAGCCGGCTTCTGAAAGTCCACCAGGCAGGTTCCTGGGTTTAGTGACCTCGCTGGGGCAGATGCTTCGGGTGTACCACGAAACATACTTACTGAGTATGCAGCCAGCGTGAGATTTGTTTGTCTAGGTGTCTGTTGAGCGGAGTGTCTCCAACGCCTGGGACAGGCCAGCACCCAGCAAGCACTCAATGTATAATGTTAAAGAGAAAGAGTATCCCTGAGCATCTTTTAGACCCTGGAACATGTGGGTCTGTCCCTATATCTGTTTCAACCTGAAGGCTGGCAAGGAGTATTTCCCAAGGAGGATGATGTATGACAGCCATTCTGCTAGCTGGAATTCTCAGAGCACTACTGCACAGGCAATGTGCGTTGTAAGCTGTAGCCCATTTAATCCTCCGGGGACAAGAAGAAGCAACAGTCCATGCTACCTGCTCTTGGGGGGTGAGAGAGCTGAAGGCAAATGGCCGAATGACTTGATCACAGTCACAAAGCTGGCATGTCAGGGGGCGTGTGTGGTCGGCTTTCAGCAGCCTGGCTCTGCGTCCCTCTCGTAACAGCCACGGTTGAGCAGTACAGAGTGACCAGGAGGTATAAGACACGGGGATGAATCAAAATCTCTGCAAAGAAACCTGCTGAGGAACAGGGAGTTGGAATGCAAACCAAGACCTGAGCCACTTCAGAGGGGCTTCCTGGCCTCACTTTTATAGGTTTGTTCTTGGCTGAGAAAAGATCGTGACAGTGCTTAGGAATCGGTGATAGCAGCCATGACAGTGACCAGTCACATCTTCAGCGGCCCACAGGTGACTTTCACCTCTACAAGGAGTGTGAAACCTAAATGGAAGGGCTGACAAGGTGACTGAGTAGGTGCTCACCATGCAGGCCTGCCAGACTGTACCAGGTTGGCTTTCTGTGCCAAGCGCCAGGCTAAGCACTGGTATGCTCTCTGGCTGTCCTCCAGACCTCCTGGCGTCTACCTGCCAAGATGAGGTCTGCTTAGGATGCTCCAGTCGCCTCCTCCGGGAGCAGCAACGTGAGGGTGCAGCCCTGTGGGTTACACCTCTCTTCCTGTCTCAGCTTACAGCCCAGAGTCCCCACGGAACCCTATCCACAATCCTTCTGATCCTCTCTCGGGGCCAAAGGGACAATCGATGGAATGACAAAAGCTAAGCTAAACAGATGGTTTCACCACAACGGCTAAACCAGCCTTTGCTGGGTTCAGGGAGTGGGGTCCCGCGTGGCCAGCCTAGAAACGGAAGTGGGTCACAGCTGAGCACGAGCCCATCCCCACCGGACCAATCTCCTTTACAGTCACCAGGGCTTCTGCTCCTGCCAATCATCTGCAGCCCTGGGCACCTGCCTCAGGCTGGGAGCTCCTGAACCACGTTACTGCTACCTGTCTCTCAGATTCTGCCTGGTTTCATGATGGGTAAGCCTTTTATTCCTTTGCATCTGAGTGGTTCCTCACAACTCTCCTGTCTCTCCTCTGTCTCCTCATGCTGGTCTCTCCTCTGTCTCCTCATGCTGGTCTCTCCTCTGTCCCCCATTCTGCTCTCACCTCTTCCTCCAGCTTGATCACTCTGGCCTGGGCATTGCTCAAAGCCTGGTCCAGGATCTCAATGTGCCTCCGATGGTCCTCACTTGCATTCCGCACCGCTGCTAACTCCATTTCCAACTTTTCCTTTTCCTTCAAGAATTCTTTGTCTGGAAGGGAGAGAAAACCAGAACAAGCTCCATCAGAAAATACTCGGCCTCAGGCTCACTGCCAGGCTACATCTGGCAAGGATTGAAAATAAAAAATAAAATAAAAAAAAAACTCGCCAATGGCAGTGAGTTACTGTTGCTGCTGCTTGGCAGCAACGGAGGGCGAATGAAGTAGGGACTTCCTCAAGCCCACCCGTAACTCCACTTGGGACGCGCTTCCAGTGAGGAGGCGCTGGGCCACATCTCAGTGGGATGGCATGCTCCAAGCATGCACAAGGCCCCACGTGTGATCCCATCATGGCAAGAAGGAGGAGGAAAGCACATGGGAGCCAACAGCCCCAGATTCTCCTGGGCTTGCATCTCTGCAACTTCGACGGCAATCCTCCCGATTAATCTCGCACCTATGATTTCACTGCATGCTTCCAAACTCCCTTTCTTGCCTCTTTCAAGCCTCAGGTCAAAGGGCAGGTTTGCAATATTGCAAACCACTTGCAATAATATTAAAATCCCCATTCATAGAACAGTAAACCAAGGTCTCTAGAGAGGAGCTCTTTTATTGCAACAGGACAAGGAGGGAGATTCTGCCTCCAGTCTGACCCACTTTTCCTATGAAGGACCCCAAATAGCCCCCTAGTCCTGTCAAAAGGGTCCAGGAACTTCAGATTTAGGAAAACCATTCTTCCATTCAACAAAAGATGGTGACCCCCATGCCTTTGCAAGTAGGAACTGTGAGCTAGTCACCTTTCTGATCAGCCTTCCAAAGAACAGGAAAGACTACAGTTAAGGAGAATATGTTTCTTGCTACAAAGCAGTGTTTTGTTTTTTATTTTAAAATACATTAGCTTGTATGCTTTCTACAGTATGAAAACGCTTGGAAGAGTTTAACATGTGATCAAGGAGCCAGGCTGGGTGGTGCAGCCCTGTAATCTCAGATACTCAGACAGCTAAGGCAGGAGAATGACAAGTTCAAGGCCTGACTGGGTTACGATGACTTCAACTCTAACCTAGGTAACTTAGCGAAACCCTGCCTCAAAAGAAAAAGTCAAAGGAGGGCTGGAGGTTTGGCTCAGGGGTGGAATACTTGCCTAGAATCTGCATGCCTAGATTCCGTCTCCATTACAAGGAAATAAAAAAAAAAAAAAAGAAGAAGAAGAAGGGTTGGTTAAACTATTAAACTCTAAAGAACCCCATGCAGCCATCTGTACTAGAAAAACCATCATGATTGATGGGCTTGCTGCTTACTCTTTCATCAACTTTCCACAAAGCCAGCTCATCTGGGAAGATGGAACTCAGTTGAAAAAATGCCTCCACCCCTGAGAAGGCGCCATGTTGCATAAGAAAGCAGGCTGGGCAAGCCGGGGGTGGGGATGGGGATAAGCCTGCAAGCATCCTCCTCCAAGGCCTCTGCTTCAGTTCCTGCCTAGAGTTACGCCCTGGTTCCCCTGCAGATCGAAACCTGTAAGCTAAATAAAACCTTTCTTTCCCCCAGCTACTGTTGGTCACGGTGTTTATAACAGCAACAGAAAGCAAACTAGAAAGACTGATAAAGGGTAATTAACAAAACAAATACACGACATTCACATTTATAGAACAGTAGCCGGACGTTGGTGGCGCACGCCTTTAATCCCAGCAGTCGGGAGGCAGAGGCAGGCGGATCTCTGAGTTCAAGACCAGCCTGGACTACCAAGCGAGTTCCAGGACAGCCTCCAAAGCCACAGAGAAACCCTGTCTCGAAAAACCAAAAAAACAAACAAACAAACAAAACCCCCATTTATAGAACAGCGACACCTAACTCCAATAGCAGCTACGGTTGTGTATCACACCGGCTGAACACGCTTATCAACCCTCCCTGCCACACACCGGAAGCTACGCCAGCGTGCCACAGCAGGTGCATCCATTCATTGAACATTTCCTCCCACGGGCAATCCCTCATGGATGTAAACGAGCAGCTCTGAGCCCTGAGAGCCAGCACCGGGAGCTGAGAAAGCAACCGAAAGAGTATTTCTCCAGAGTTGCAGAAAGGGTGGGTTTGGATGTGGGGCATGGTGACAAAAAAGGCCGAGGATGTACTTGTTAGTCACCAGGGAAAGTCAGCCGGGCACTGAGGGCTGTGGGTCAGGAGAGCAAAGGCCAGGAGCAAAGGCGTGTCCCAGGCCCACTGCCAGCTGAGGCGGAGTGGGGGCCGGGACGCCTGGCACCCACCGGGGTGTCCTTCTCACCTAACCGAGCTACTCTTGCAATAGCAGGTTATGTCAGGGGGGGACAGACAGTGCAGCCAGGGACAGGGTGTGCTTCCTAGAGATGAACATGACTCGGGTTACCAAAATCCCGCTCCCAGAGCAGAGCTCGACTTTGGGTTTCTTCTGCCCCACTGCGGTGAGCAACCAGTGTCCTTCCTCCACCCTCTGTGAGGCTCCACAGGAGACAGGCACAAAGCCTTGAGTAAGTGGGTCACTGTCCCCACCACCCACGGCCCCACAGCCTTCGCACTCTTTCTGTCGCACTCTTGGACACCCAACAACAATCTCCTAGGGCTGGGTGAAAATTCTATGAGCATGGAACCTGACAGCCTTGCCCAGCTTTGAACACCCAGGGTTACTGGAGCCGGGTTATCTGGTTATGAATCTAAGCATAAAGATTGTCACATTCACTGAGATACTAAGTACACATTCCTTTACTGAGACACTAGGGACACATTCCTTTACTGAGACTAGGGACATGTTCCTTTACTGAGACACTAGGGACACATTCCTTTACTGAGACTAGGGACACGTTCCTTTACTGAGATACTAGGGACATGTTCCTTTACTGAGATACTAGGGACATGTTCCTTTACTGAGACACTAGGGACATGTTCCTTTACTGAGATTAGGGACATGTTCCTTTACTGAGATACTAAGTACACATTCCTTTACTGAGACACTAGAGACACGTTCCTTTACTGAGACACTAGGGACTCATTCTTTTACTGAGATACTAAGTACACGTTCCTTTACTGAGACACTAGGGACATGTTCCTTTCGATCCAAAGCAGTCAAGCAACAAGCTAAGTTCGTGAACAGAAACTGTGACCATAACTTAATGCTTTGCAAACTGATGGCTGTAATTGTTGTTATGTCACAATGACAGGTGTTCTGACACTCCAATACGCACACATGCACACATGCTTGCATGTGCACACACACATACGTGCACACATACACATATATGCACATGCACACATGGTGGGGGTGTGATTCTGGCATTTGTCTTTTCTTTGATAAGAATGAACTTTGCATGTGCACACACACATACATGCACACATGGTGGGGTGTGATTCTGGCATTTGTCTTTTCTTTGATAAGAATGAACTTTGGTGTCAGAAGACCTGAATTCGACTTGCATAATAGTCACAGTAGCCAAGGACGGAGCCAGCCCAGATGCCCATCAAAAATGACCTACCTACCTACCTACCTACCTATCTACCTATCTACCTATCTATCTACCTATCTATCTATCTATCTATCTATCTATCTATCTATCTATCTATCTATTCATCTGTTCATGGAGTCAACTGTCAAGTACCCAGCATTTTGTTTGTTTGTTTTTTTCAGGAAAACAGATGGAACTGGAGACATGGCCAGCAAGATAAGCCAGTCCCACAAAGATACACTTTTCTCTCATCTACAGACTTGAGATCAAAAGGGGGCCTGAGAACAGACAGAAGGGGCTAGCAGACCAGCAGGAGGGGTAAACAGGGACAAGAGTGACAGAGGGCTTGGGTGTCAATATATATACATAAGAAAATGCATGGCGAAACCCATTATTTCACACAATTAGCACGTGCTAATAAAAATGAATTTCAAACTATCAGGACTGGCAAGATGGCTCAGAAGGTACAGGAGCCCGCCACCAAGCCTGACGGCCTGCGTCGATTCCTAGGACTCATACGGTGGAATGAGACAAGTTGTCCTCTGACCTCTACAAGTGTGTGATCCACATGTACACTGCCACACACAATAAAAATATTGCAAAATAAAAAAAATCAAGTAATAAAGTAAAAAAGGAGAGCTTTGTGTGATGGCTCAAACTGAGAAGCTGAGGCAGGAAAATCATCATGAATTCATGGCCAGTGACTTTAGACCTGAGCATGACTCTGTCCTTAAGTAGCCTTCACACTGGCCTACTGACAGGAAGTGGTGAGCTTGACACATGGTTTCAAAGGGGGATCCAGGTAATACTTACAATAGCATCTGCCCCTGCTTGCATTACATTACACCCACCCAGGCTTACTGTTTGACGTGGCCATCACTACTATTCTTATTTTTCAGCTGAAGAAAATGACACTAAGAATGTATAAATAACTCAGCCACAAAAATGATCCTCGTTAGTGGAAATGACAGAATTTGTACTCACACCCGGCTAATGTAACCATGACCTTGATCATGTAACTGCACAAACATACACTTCAGAATCACAGACGACTACACAATGGCCTCATTATAACCCAACCCATCACTGCAAAAAATACTGTATTTCTCCAAACAGATCAAATCACAGCCACACGTGTGTCCATTGGCAGCCTGGAGGCAGCACGGTGAAAAGCATCTTGGGATGGATATCAAGAAAGGCCAGCGTTGCAGTAAGGCTTTGACTGGACTCCGATGTATGCTGAGAGTCCCTTGAAGAGGCAAGGTCATGTACAGGGATTCTTGCCTTCAGTGGTCTGGCTTCTCAGTGGGTACGAACTGCCCAGAACTGTGGGGACTCCTTTTACCTGACGGCTCTGGTCCCACTAGCCAGAAGGACATCTGCTCCTACAGTGATTTCTGTGAGAACCAGTTGTGCCATGGGCTCTGAAACAGGGCCAGTCTGGTCTGGTCAGGCACCTTTAGCAATAGGTAAAATAGGGCTTGAACATACGACGTCACCTCTCTGATACTCCTTCCCACCCAGGAAATTGACGAGATGTATTTTGCAGGACCATTTTGAGGGCTACAACAACCATCAAAGATGCTTGT